CCTCCCTCCCTAAATTTTTTCTCTCATTTGAGACCTTTGCCTAAGTGACACAGTAGTGTCAGTAACTCTGTGCGTTTTGAATCTAAAAGTAGAATCATGAAACCTCTATATAATCAGTCATCGTATGTTGCAGCCTTTAAACACTTTGTGTGATCTTAACACGGGAACTTCTTGATTTCTTTTCACTATTAAAGTTACCTGACCTCCTCAGTGKCAATTTTTCTATTTTTTTATTCTACATACAAAATAAATCGACTTAAAAATCAGTTTTTCTTCAGCACTAGAGACCTGGTCAGCATTAGAATAGGGATGTGGGCAGATAAAATTCTTAAACTATGTAGATTATTTGACTGCCTTACCTTCTTCAAGAGCCTTTGTCTAGTACTTGTTTCATATGTGGACTGAGCACTGGCAGAGGTCACCCAGCACATGGCACCCAATCAAGCCTTCTATGAACAATTATTTTAAGAGTAATAGTATATGGTTACACTTACTGTAATACATTTTTCTTCTTTCATTATCTTTATAATGGTGAAAAAAAATCAGGCCTTTCTTTTGTTTTTATAGTKAAGAGAAATGAGATAGAATCTTGAAATATTTAAAAATTTTAGAAAATTGGCATTTTTTGAGTTAGGTGAATTCTTAGGCTACCTCTGTCCTATATCTTAGGATAGACATGAAGTGTCTGAGGTACGTCCTCACTTGCACTACACCCACACATCCAAAMTACTTGGCTTTGCAGCACATTTGGGAACAAGCTTTAGTAGAGTATCAGAGAAAAGAGGCAGAGATGATTGAGCTCAGAGTGGACAGACTAGGCACAACGAGGACTCCAAAAGCCCATAAGCATTGCTTTCACACCACAMCACACAGAACACTGGGAAAAGGAGAGTGACAATACAAATCACACTTTAATTCAAGGTCAGTTTTTCATTTCCTATAAAATTTAGAAACACTTCCTGGTAAATACATCGTGCAGTTTTGTGTTATTCCTGTGCTCACTCAGGCATCTGCAGAGGCCATGCTGAACTTGGGTTTGCATGYTAACACATAGAATATTGTGACTTTCCCTTTGTCTAAACGAGGGATAAAACAGTCTTTCAAAGAACACAGTCATTTTCTGAGAGCAGAAGATGATTCTAGGTGAGGGATTTCATCCTCTGGTGCTCTGACCCTGCAAGGAGTCAAGGCACTGACTGACAAAAGCCACCCTGCTGGCMAGAGCTGCATCCACTGAGTGGCTGCAGAGTCACAGGGAAAACAAGGAGAGCTTATAAAGTGTGAAGGCTGGCCTCAGGTAGCCAGCTGTTGTCTCCCATGGAAATCAGGCAGGAATATGCATGTGTCAAACCAATCACTCCAATGCTCATCTCCTTGTTCCAYACCAGGCTCTGAATACATGTTTTTGTACCATCTTCCAGTCACTTCACTTCTRTGAAATGATGCAACCCAACAGTTCATTACTCTCAGCTCTTCTACYGAAAGATTAAAATAGAAGCACCTCCAATTATGCTTCTGATAAAATCCAGAGCGTGCTTTCTGTCGTTACCCAGCCTGTCAGGA